ATCCCACCACTCCACCACAGAGTCACCGCAGTAGACGTTAGATGAGCGCTGTCGCTCCGCGGCACTTGTTAATAGTTATTACTATTACTATTACTATTACTAGTACTATTAGTATTAGTTTCTCACACAGCCACAGGTGGAAAGTGTGAGTGCCAAACTGGTTGCTAATCAAGGTAGCAGGTGCTGCTTATTTCGTCAGGTTGTGTTTTGTGAGAGACAAGATGGAACCATGATACAAGATGCTTGATTGATATTGTGACAGTATATTATAATCTAGTAAGCAGTCAAGTGACAGGGATCGGCACCGCTACGTTTACAATAATCTTTTGATTATATGTTAAAAGGCCTTAATTGAATTTTTTGTACACAGGCGACGTTGCCAGTTAATCCCAAGCCATTTCTCAATGGTTTGACTGGAAAGCCTGTGATGGTGAAGCTAAAATGGGGAATGGAGTACAAAGGCTATCTTGTCTCTGTCGATGGATACATGAACTTACAGGTAAATTTTTGTGTGTGAAAATAATGCCAATTTCAGCTATTTTCACCGTCTTTTTTATCGCATACTAACTGCACTCGACCAATTTGTGTGATGACTTTCTTGGCATGACGAGGATTTCAATGTGTTTCAGCTTGCTAACACAGAAGAATACATAGATGGAGCATTGACAGGGAATCTGGGTGAAGTGTTAATAAGGTAGGCAGTGCCATGTGCAATAGTTAGTAAACCAACAGCATCTGTTGCTGTAATATATGTTTAAATATCTACTGCTAAATACTATTGAAATGTATCAGTGACATTAGACATATTTTACTTACCGTTACGGTACCACACAAGGGCCAATTTCCTAAATGTCCTCCAAGTATAACCAGTGCCACCAGGTGCTTGTGCTCGTAGTGTAAATGATGGAGAAGAATTCTTGTTTGACTTGCCGTATTACCCAACACATATCTTGTTTTGTTACAGGTGTAACAATGTTCTTTACGTGCGGGGTGTGGAGGAAGAAGACGAGGAAGGTGAAATGAAAGAGTAGCCAAGGACAGTGCATTTCTGTTTGCTCCCTCAATATTTTGCTGTAAACTGTGTGCATCATGTTTTTAATTTTTGCACGTGTCCTCCGTCAGTCGTGGCGAGCTGTTGTTAAAGTCTCGAATCGGCTTTGTGGCATCGGGCCACGGCTTCTAGCAAGCATCGGCGAAGAGTTTACCGACACTAGCGTCGCACATCCAGCAGTGGAGGTAATGCATTAGTTTGAACGTCAGGTTGCTCACTGTAACATCGTTGTCGACGTGAATAACGAATGTCCACCGGAAGAATGCAGGAAATATCAAGAATTCAGTTTTTTGTACATTCCATGAAGTTGAATTTTTTTAAGCCAATATTTTTGGTTTGACGATGTCAGCTGCATTCAAGAGTTTATCGTTTTTACAGTGTTTTTGTAATAAATACATCAACAAAATCAAGTGTCAGTGTTTTTAGAAATATTTATTGAGGGCAAATCAGGCACCCGTGTCTGTCATCATGAAACCAATTTCAAAACTTCCACTTGGAAACTTCCCAAAGTTCCACTCATGTATTAGCAGCATTATGGCACTAGTAATTAGCTGATATCAAAAGGCATGGCACTATTCTCGTGAGAACAAGCAGAGCAGATTTATAAGGTTTAGCAAAGGAATTATCAAAGCTAATTGAGCTACTGGAATTGGTGGTGATATTTCGATGGTGATTCACCTGCGAGCATGCAGAGGTAATCTGGTGTATTATAGGTAAAAACGGCATATAACTAATGTGATATATAATATCAGGGTATGATCATGGTCCTATGTGGCTTGACACAAATAATAGCGAATGTGTGCGTTTATATTACATCATGCTCATCACATCATTTATAACTATCACAGGTAACAGCTTTATAAGCGACTGAGTTCAGTCATGCTTCAAGTTTAAAACTCTTGAACGCTGAATATTTTCTACTGAAACGCTACGTTGTGAGTGTAATTCTTTTTTTAACAGAACTGTTTTTACGGACGAGTATAAATGTTGAATCACTATCACATAAAAAATGCAATGATTCGATGACAATCCTAAGAACAAGTTCCAAGGTAAAACTGTCATTGAGAAAATATGAACGTTTGGGGGACAGATTGTGAGCCAAATTCATATAGTAAAAGCACTGATGAAATGAATACCTAATCGGGTTAATAAAAGCATGTGTCTGATGAAAACTGCTGCTTCATATTGTATTACGCATATGAAACATGTCTAGTCTTCATGCTGCATGGGCCAATCTAACAACAGATTTGTCTAAACCTATTAGTTCAGATTGTCAATTTGCAATACCAGCCTTGCCTATAAACAGAACTACCACATCAATAACAGCATTCGTGCATAGGCAGAATCAATAAGTGATCCTACACATGTAATCTAGCTAAGGAAGTATAAAAAATATTGGAAGTGAAAATTTTACGTGAGTTCTATTCTTCTCTATTGAGTTGTGCGAACTATTTTGTTCTGCCTCGTGACGGGGCTACAGTCATCTGACTTAACGATGCGGATGTTACCGAGGCACAGGCCACATGTCTCACAGCAGGAGCTATTAGACAGTCGATCAGCCCTAGCCAGAACTGTCGTAAGATCTGAAAAGATTCGGCACACAGTGAGTGAGCAATGGATCAGAGATGAGTTGGAGCCGCTCCGGCCACCTCGTCATTCCCGGCTTATCTTGATCTTGCTGAAGATGAGGCCGACGGCTTCACAGCACGGTGCGAGGAAACAGTCGACTGTTGTGAACCAGAACTGGCGCAACATCTGTTCAACAGAATTAAATGGAGGACATGAAAAGTACATGCAGGTGGCATTTTTCTGGGAAGAGTACACGAGTAACTCTGCCACTGATGATGATTCTACGTGATTCACTGCGACGGACCTTCTCTCTCTGATGTGTTATGAGTGGAAGCTAATCCATCTGGAATAAACGGCTGCCTACTTCTCCCTCACGAGTCATGTCAATGATGACTACTATCCTTGGCTGATATCAATGTCGCCAGCCACTGACGTTAATTTCGTGCAGAGTGGTTATCATTTGTGCGCAAATTTTTTTACAACAACAACTACATTTACCGGCAAGATAAATCTATTGATGTCGCCTCCACGAGAAACGGTGTTTCACCAGAGCATATATTATATATATATAAAGTTGTAGACTTTGCCTGTCCGCACTCGTATAACTAGAGAACTACGCAGCCTAGAGGAAAACTGAAGATATATACAGAATCAGCATGTCTGGGAGATGGTTCTGGCTGGAAAAAAAAATTATAAAAGTTAAAAAATTAAACATTGAAAAAAAAAATCTATTCGTCAATTCATCTTGGAGCATACAGCTTAACATTTTGGACGACTCGATGATACTCTCAACGTATAGTGCCTCAGCGGTCCAACGGATAAGGCATCGGTCTCCTAAACTGGAGATTCTGAGTCCCACCTGGGGGAATATTTTGTTTCTTTACTTTTTGACTGTTTAGTATGTACTTCTGCCACTTCACCGTTAATTTCAAAATTTACAAAATTTTACTACATTTAAAAGTTTAGTAAAAATCTAGAATAAACTATGGTAGATGATAATAATAGCGCAAACTGACGGGAAGACTTCACGGAAGCCTATGTAGGTTACAGATCAAATATATTTTAATTCTTTTTTAAACTCAACTATATATATAGAAGTAACAAATCTTCTAATACATATTTGTGAATGTGCCTCTGTTTGTCTGTTCTCGATGCAAATCAATACGGAGCACTATGAAAATGCCAAAGACGTTCAGTACGGGTAAATTTTGGTGCGGAATGTTTCTTAGCCACCACAAACAGTTTGCAGACCCAAACGTTTCTTAGCCACCACAAACAGTTTGTGGACCCAAAAATTCCTTAGCCACCACAAACAGTTTGTGGGCCCAAAAATTCCTTAGCCACCACAAACAGTTTGTGGACTCAAAAATTTCTTAGACACCACAAACAGTTTGTGGACCAAATAATTTCTTAGCCACCACAAACAGTTTGTGGAACAAAAATTTCCTAGCCACCACAAACAGCTTCCCGCATATTTGCGATTCCCAAAACGTATAGCTATGGAAGAAAAATTGAGCAAATTCGCTGCCCGTCCGAGTTCGTGCGCCAAAAAAAATTTATTGTCCCCCACTTTGTGGGCCGTAATTTGGCTTCTTGTTTACTTGTAACTGATATGTGTGGGTGCACGGTTTGTTTGTGGTGGCTTAGGAATTTTTGGGTCCACAAACTGTTTGTGGTGGATAAGGAATTTTTGGGTCCACAAACTGTTTGTGGTGGCTAAGAAATTTTTGGGTCCACAAACTGTTTGTGGTGGCTAAGGAATTTTTGCGTCCACAAACTGTTTGTGGAGGCTAAGGAATTTTTGGGTCCACAAACTGTTTGTGGTGGCTAACACATTTTTGCGTCCACAAACTGTTTGTGGAGGCTAAGGAATTTTTGGGTCCACAAACTGTTTGTGGTGGCTAATAAATTTATTGGTCTACAAACTGTTTGTGGTGGCTAAGAAAT